CCTCTGGTTGTATTCATATGCAAATTGGAAACCCAGAGTGGTTGTATTCATATGCAAATTGTAAACCCTCTGGTTGTATTCATATGCAAATTGGTAACCCAGCGTGGTTGTATTCATATGCAAATTGTAAACCCTCTGGTTGTATTCATATGCAAACTATAAACCCTTTAGGTTGTATTCATAGGCAAATTGTAAACCCTCTGGTTGTATTCATATGCAAACTATAAACCCTTTAGGTTGTATTCATATGCAAATTGTAAACCATTTAGGTTGTATTCATATGCAAATTGTAAACCCTCTGGTTGTATTCATATGCAAATTGGAAACCCAGAGTGGTTGTATTCATATGCAAATTGTAAACCCTCTGGTTGTGATCATATGCAAATTGGAAACCCAGAGTGGTTGTATTCATATGCAAATTATAAATACCCATGGTTGTATTTATATGCAGATTGTAAACCCTCTGGTTGTATTCATATGCAAATTGTAAACCCTCTGGTTGTATTCATATGCAAATTGGAGTGGCATCTCATTGGACATCAGATGTGATGACATGGATTTAGTTTTGCTTCTACCATTCTTGGTCATGTGACCCATTATTTTGTTCTTACATTTATTTCTGTAAACCCACATTTTCCTCATGCAAATTGTAGACCACATGGTTGTATTCATATGCAAATTGTAAACCCCAATGGTTGTATTTATAAGCAAATTGTAACCCCCCATGATTGTATTAATAGGCAAATTGTAAACCCCCATGGTTGTATCCATATGCAAATTATAAACCCTCATGGTTGTATTCATATGCAAATTGTAAACCCTCATGGTTGTATTCATATGCAAATTATAAACCCCCATGGTTGTATTCATATGCAAATTGTAAACCCCCATGGTTGTATTCATATGCAAATTGTAAACCCTCATGGTTGTATTCATATGCAAATTGTAAACCCCCATGGTTGTATTCATAGGCAAATTGTAAACCCTCATGGTTGTATTCATATGCAAATTGTAAACCCTCATGGTTGTATTCATATGCAAATTGTAAACCCCCATGGTTGTATTCATAGGCAAATTGTAAACCCCCATGGTTGTATTCATATGCAAATTATAAACCCTCATGGTTGTATTCATATGCAAATTGTAAACCCTCATGGTTGTATTCATATGCAAATTGTAAACCCCCATGGTTGTATTCATAGGCAAATTGTAAATCCTCATGGTTGTATTCATATGCAAATTGTAAACCCTCATGGTTGTATTCATATGCAAATTGTAAACCCCCATGGTTGTATTCATAGGCAAATTGTAAATCCCCATGGTTGTATTCATATGTAAATTATAAATCCCCATGGTTGTATCCATATGCAAATTGTAAACCCTCATTGTTGTATTCATATGCAAATTGTAAACCCCCATGGTTGTATTAATAGGCAAATTGTAAACCCCCCATGGTTGTATCCATATGCAAATTATAAACCCTCATGGTTGTATTCATATGCAAATTGTAAACCCTCATGGTTGTATTTATATGCAAATTGTAAACCCCCATGGTTGTATTCATAGGCAAATTGTAAACCCCCATGGTTGTATTCATAGGCAAACTATAAACCCTTTAGGTTGTATCCATATGCAAATTATAAACCCTTTAGGTTGTATTCATATGCAAATTGGAAACCCTCTGGTTGTATTCATATGCAAATTGGAAACCCAGTGTGGTTGTATTCATATGCAAATTGTAAACCCTTTAGGTTGTATTCATATGCAAATTACAAACCCTTTAGGTTGTATTCATAAGCAAATTGTAAACCCTTTAGGTTGTATCCATATGCAAATTACAAACCCTTTAGGTTGTATTCATATGCAAATTGTAAACCCTCTGGTTGTATTTATATACAAATTGGAAACCCTCATGGTTGTATTAATATGCAAATTATAAATCCCCGTGGTTGTATTCATATGCAAATTGTAAACCGCTAGTGTAACTTATAAATCAGCATTGTATTAGCCTACATATATTGTAAGAGCTTGCTGCTATAGGTCATCGCACTTTATGTTTTGAACATGTACATGCAGTTGGCAAGAACTGTGGCATTTTGCGCTACAGTTGTAATTAATTATTCATGTATGTGTGCCCGTTGATAAAACAACTTGCGGAGAGCGTTGTCACAACAAATTGCGAGTCAGTGCTGATTATTGAGTGACATTTGTTATCAGACGTGTACATGCTGGTTGGCAAAAATGTAAACAAATAAGATAACAGTGCAACAA